GATGAGACTTGTCCATTTGGGCCATTAGGATAGCATGAAATTGTAAATTTGTGTTTATAGAGCCATAGGCATGTGTTTGTTCACTCTATTTTGGCATGAAATCATTCATTATGTACCTTATAAGTTTTACCAAGGTTGGGAGCCATTCCGATGTACAAGATGAGACTTGTTCATATGGGCCATTAGGATAGCTTGAAACCGTACATTTGGGTTTACGGAGCCATAGGCATATTTTTGTTCTCTCCATTTGGGCTTGAAATCATTCATTATGTACCCTAGAAGTTTTACAAAGGTTCGTTCACTCCATTTGGGCTTGAAATCATTCATTAAATAGCTTATCAGGTATACCAAAGTTTGGAGCCATTCTGATGTACGAGAAGACACTTATCCATTTGGGCATTTGGATAGCATGAAACCGTGCATGTGGGTGTATGGATCCATTGGCATGTGTTTGTTCACGCCATTTGGGCTTGAAATCATTCATGAAATATCTTATAAGTTACACCAAGGTTTCGAATCATTCCGATGTACGAGATGAGACTTATCCATTTGAGCCATTAGGATAGCTTGAAACTGTACATTTGGGTTTACAGAGCCATAGGCATGTGTTTGTTCACTCCATTTCGGCTTGAAATCATTCAGGAAATATCTTATAAATTACACCAAGGTTTGGAATCATTCCGATGTATGAGATGAGACTTGTCCATTTGAGTCATTAGGATAGCTTGAAACCGTACATGTGGGTTTACGGAGCCATATGCATGTGTTTGTTCACGCTATTTGAGCATGAAATCATTCATTATGTACCCTATAATTTTACCAATGTTGGGAGCCATTTCTATGTACGAGATGATACTGATGAGAATCATGTAGCCTTCCATGAAGGTTCTCCTAGTGAGGGGAATGAGTTAGTCCTTCATTCTAGATTTGGAATGCCAAGTTTACTTTGCAGGCCAATCAAGGAAGAAAGGATGGATCTTGACTACCTATGTGATAGGGAGTTGGTTCAAGAGAGCTATGATCAAGGTGATGAGAATGTCATTAACTTTGGGGTGCAAACCAAAGGAGATGAAGACCTCATGGAAATAAGTGCTGAAGAGTATCAAGAGAGTTTGACTCTGTGAGCTCCATGAAGATCATTGATCAAAGCTAGTGAGAAGAGTCATTTAGGTTCTTGAGTGGACGGCCTATTTGATCATAGTGTTCAAGATTGAGTCCATTGCTACACAATTGGATAGGTTGCAAACTATCTTAATTGTTTCAAGTGTTTTTCCAATCTTTTGGAGTCAATAAAGAGAATTCTACAAGTTTTGGAGTAAATTGGAGGTTTCTACAACTTGAGGGGCGCAAGACCAATATTCCACTTTTGGAAGGGCGTTCAAGACATTTTACTTCAACAATTTGGAGCTGAATTTCGAGATTAGAGTCATTGTCTAAGTCTAGGAGTTATTTTCGAATTTTATCTAGTTAAATAAGTCATGTGGACTGAATCAAGCTAGAGTGTTTTGATTAGGAGTCTTAGATTCCTTCTAGATATTATCCTACTTGAGGATAAGTGATTTAGATAAGGTTTCCTAGATTTTAGATAGAGTCAAAGAGATCAAGTACTCTTCTACTTTTACTCCTTGTGAGATAAGATTAGAGAGTCTTAATTGGTCTTCTTTTTGGTGGTGCTGGCCGAAAAATTCAAGCCTATATATAGGAGGCTTGGCCGAATTTTAGAAGCACCCTTGAGTGGTCATTTTTGTTGTCTCTTTTGAGAGTTTTTCCTGTGAGGAATTTTTGTTAAATGGAGTGTCCATTTTTCGTGTCAAGTATGATTAAACCAAGAGGGTTTTCATCTTGTCTTGGATCTTTTTGATCTTGCAGAAACCATTCTTTTTCAAGTATGCTTCTTGATAGAATTGTTTTAAAACTAAACTTCTTATTTTCATACTACTTCTAGTAGTTCGATTGATGAGCCTTTCCTTTGGCTTGGTGTTCGAATTTCATGATGAGTGTGTTCATGAGATCCATTGTGGGGTTTGTCCTACTTTTGTTGGATGAGTTGTGCTTTGGCATAAGCATTTTGAGATAGTGTATGTGTTGCATATCTTTGGTTGGTTATGAAGATTACTAATTAATAGTATTCCTTCATAGTTGGGCATTGTTTGCTCCTACCTTTCTTGAGTCTCTTGATTAATGACTGATCGAGTATATTGAATGGTGTCCTTGCTATTCTTAGCGTGGGTTGTTGTTTAATTCGAATCTTTCATGGATAATGTGTTCTTTGCTTGGTTTGAGTTAAGAGATAGAATCACTTAGATAAACGATCGTCTTATCGTGAATTTTCCGCACTCTTTTGAGTTTCACGGGATAGACAAAATTATCTTCGTACTTTCTTGTTGATGGTTGCATTAACGAAATTTGCTTCGTCTACGAGATTGCTATCGTTTCTTGGTATCGAGCTTGGATTATCTTAGTGATGGTATTAATTGATATTATCATATCAATTCCTATTATCGTTTGATTTTCGAGAGATTTCTTCTTAGTTGAGGACTTCATAGTTCTTGGTTTTGAGAATATCTTGAATTACCACGGAATCCGTTACTTGGTGTGGTGATCGAGCTTTGTGCTACTTAACAAGTAGTACTATCTTTATTTGTTTCAAGGTTCCTTCTTGTTTTGGAATGGGGTGTTGAAAAAATAAATCAAATTCTTGTGAAAACTACGTTTTCAAAATTGATCTTGTCTTTTGTGTGGTTGTGCGAGACTTCTTACACATTTGTTTGATCTTGTGGTGTTATTTTAAGGTCTATGCAAGAGCTTGATGATGGTACGTTGGTATCTAATCAAAGTGGGCGCTACATCTTGAAATTTATCCTTGATTTGCAAGTAGAGAACTATTTCTCCTATGAGCAAGTTAGTGGATCTTATGTGTTGGATCTTTAAGGAGAGAATTGATGCCAAAGAAGAGCTTCTTGCTCGAGATAGCCTTTTCTTTCTAAAGAGATGTCTTTACATAAGGAAGATTTGAGAGTTTATCTTGTGGTAAATATCTTGGATCTATTCTTTGAAAGGTGAAGCTTAATGATTTTGTACTTTCTACATAAAGTATAAATGAAAAAGCCTTCCTTCTTGTTGGTTTCATTTGAATCTAATGAGTAAAATGGAATTTATGGATTTTCAATTCATGAAAATTTCATAGAGACCGAATTTTGTTTAATCTTAGTGTCAAAAGATTTTTCAAAATTAACAAATGTTGGTTTCTTGTTTTCTCGAGTTTTACACTTTGAGTTTGAGTCAAAAACTTTCTTTGTCAAGTGATGAGGAATGAATTTTAGTGATATCAGTTTTGGTATCAAAATTGTTTAAGGTCTTTGAAGTTGAATTGTGCCAACTTTAAGGATTGAAGTCTTTGACTTGTGTTTAAAAACCTTGATTTTCGAGAGTAGGGTCGAAAATTGAGTGAAGTTTTTTCTAAAAAGATTTTCTTAATGTTTGATAAGAAATCTTATAGGTTTTGAGATGTATTCTCAAAGTTTACATATTTGGTTGTTGGAAGATTGATTTTCAATGGTCACTTATGAAGATGGCATTGTTAAGTCATTGAGTTTTCAGAATGATTTGTGTTAAATTTAGTATTATGAAGCAAATGTCATAATTGAATAAGGAACTTTAATTTCCTACTTCATTATAATTATGGTGTTCTTGTTACTTTATTTGCCATGGATTGTTTTGGTAAAAAGTGATTTTTGTTAATTCCAAGTACAATTTGGAAAAGGGTTTTTAGAAAGATTCTAAAAGTTGTTGTCCATTTTTGGAAAGTGGTAATTTTCAAGTTTCCTTTTTAAGTGAGTCAAAAGTAATTTTTCAAATTTTAACTATGTGGTAAAAGGTTAATGGCCGAAATTTTGCTGACTTTTTGCATGTGTGTGCGTGTGATTTATGTGTTATTCTAAGCCTAGTTGGTTTTGAATTTTAGAGTCATAGTATAACCGAAATTGTGAAGCTAAAAATTAGGTTTTCCTAGTCCTAGTTGAACTTGAATTTTGGTTGTCTATTTGTGTTACACTTGGAGACCTATTTGGTCTTGTATTTGTGTGTTCACATGGCCGAAAATTTTAGCCCTAAAATTAAGGTCATTGAGTCCAAATTGTGTTATGATTTGAGTCCTATTCGGTTTTGGATTTTTTGTGTTCACATTGGCCGAAATTTGCAGCCATTGTTTCCTAATTGTAATACAATTTTATTGTGTGTTTTATTTAAGTCCTACTTGGATTTAAATACTAATTTTTGCATGAGTTAAATTATAATTTCAGTGAGATTATAATTAGAGTTTTAAAGTGAGTCTATTTTCGAAAACTATTAAGATAAGGAAGTCTTATCCTAATCTGAAAATTTTTTTTAGTCTTCTAATACATTTGTGCATGTGTGTGGCCGTGTATTTGAGTCCTTTTAGTAGTAGGGGGGTCGAAAATTTTATCTCTAATAAGTAGGGATGAGTTTTCCTAATTTGTGTCCAAAAAGGATCATGTGTACCTAAGTTTTAGGATTCTATCCTTGTCTATATATATGAGGCCGGTTTTTCTTCTTCTTCATTCCACATTGTCGAGCAGCCTTCATCAATTAGGGGGGAATATTTTTGAGAAAATTTAGGTCCTATCTTGTAGGAGTTTTCTTGCACAAAAAGACTTGCATTACCTATAACTAGGGGTGCTGTTTTTCGAAAATCCTCACATCACTCTACTCCAATTTTCTTCTTCTTTCGTGCTGCTGAGATCAAAAGAGAAAAGCAAGAGAAGCACTCTTCTCTTTAATTCTGAAATTTTTGAGAGTTGTGTTCTTAAAAGCACAAGAGGGTTTTTGTTTTTTGGGAGAGCTTTATTTGAACCTTCCTTTGGTTCTTGGGGGGGTTTCAGCCGAACCAAACTTTTGTTCTAGGGTTCAAGGAGTTTTTGTGTAGTAAACAAGGCACATTACTTCTTTTGTTGGTGGATTCTCAGAATTGTTGAGCAAAGATGTCATCCGAAGTTGCTGGTTGTACTCAAATCGCTTCAAAGAGTGTAGAGGGTCGCATGGAGGCTCAAGTACAGCTCATGAAGAGTCAAATTGACTTCCTACATGATGCTTTGGCCGAGGTTAAGGAGGCAAACCGAGACTTGTCTCAAATGCTTTCAAATCAGCAAGATAAAGCTATGGTAAGTTTTGAGAAAATTGCTGAAAATTTAAGAGTCTTATGTGATCATTTTGAAGTTAAACAAGTACCCTCGTATGCTGGAATGTTGCAAGTGTCATTGCCTTTGTTTTATGGTTGTCATAGAGAATATGATACTTGGGAAAAGAGCATAGAGAATTTGTTTGTGTTGCTTAACATAGAGAAAGAGAGTGAGAAAATAGCCTTAGCTATAGGTTGTTTTTGTTCTAATGCTTTGAATTGGTGGAAGCTAGTTTCAAATATCTATTCGCATTATTGGTATCGTAATTTTGATGATTGGCATGATTTGAGAAGTGCTTTGCGAGAAAGATATGCTGGTACTAACACCTTTGATGAAGCAAAAGTGAAGTTGCTCAATTGTAAGCAGAATGGTAAATCCATTCAATCTTACTTTGAGGAACTAGAAGGGTTGTTTCTGAGTTCAGAAGTGGATGAGAACGACTATATGTTGACAGACCGTTTCCACTATGGCTTGGACAAGTGTTTCAAACAACACCCAAAGATAAGGAGACAATCAAGGCTCTATGAGGCATACTATGCTGCCTTAGAAGTGGAAAGAGAGCATGATATTTCTTGTGGTTGGAATGGTCCAATTGAGGATCAGGGGTTGGTGTTTGGCACTGAAGATGGAGATCAACGGACTTGTATCTTCCGTACTAAGTGTTCGGTTGGGTGGTCCAATGAAGTTGATTTGGTAATCGACAGTGGGTCGAGTACTGATTGTGTAAGTGAGGAATTCTGCGTAGCAAACGGAATTAAGATGGATCCGCATACTAGACCATACAAGCTTCAATGGTTGAGTGAAGAGATGGTTGTGGATGTTACTAAAAAGGCCATGGTACCTTTTCGGATTGGTGAGTATAGGGATGAAATTTACTTTGATGTAATTCATATGTCTCTTTGTGATATTTTGCTAGGTAGGCCTTGGCAGTCAGATGTAGATGCTGTGCACCATTGCTCAAAGAATATCTTTGTCTTTACTAAAGAGGACAGAAAATATATTCTTAAGCCTTTGGCTTATGAAGAATCTGAATCTGTGCGAGAGAAAAGACGTAAGATAACCTATACACAAGGGAGAGAAAAAGTCGAGCGAGTGACGCAAGAAAGTAAAAAGGGTCACGATGAGGTAAGACTTGAGGCGATAGAAAACCATGAAAATAGCGTGGAAACAGAAATAAATGCACGCAATGAGAGAAAATCAGAGTGTGGTGAGGGTGAGAATTTTACTAACCCTTATATCTCGTTTGTTCCTTGTGCAGGTATAGAGGTTGATGATTCGAGGACGAATCCTCTTAAAGAAGGAGGGGATGATGAGAATCATGTAGCCTTCCATGAAGGTTCTCCTAGTGAGGGGAATGAGTTAGTCCTTCATTCTAGATTTGGAATGTCAAGTTTACTTTGCAGGCCAATCAAGGAAGAAAGGATGGATCTTGACTACCTATGTGATAGGGAGTTGGTTCAAGAGAGCTATGATCAAGGTGATGAGAATGTCATTAACTTTGGGGTGCAAACCTCATGGAAATAAGTGCTGAAGAGTATCAAGAGAGTTTGACTCTGTGTGCTCCATGAAGATCATTGATCAAAGCTAGTGAGAAGAGTCATTTAGGTTCTTGAGTGGACGGCCTATTTGATCAAAGTGTTCAAGATTGAGTCCATTGCTACACAATTGGATAGGTTGCAAACTATCTTAATTGTTTCAAGTGTTTTTCCAATCTTTTGGAGTCAATAAAGAGAATTCTACAAGTTTTGGAGTAAATTGGAGGTTTCTACAACTTGAGGGGCGCAAGACCAATATTCCACTTTTGGAAGGGCGTTCAAGACATTTTACTTCAACAATTTGGAGCTGAATTTCGAGATTAGAGTCATTGTCTAAGTATAGGAGTTATTTTCGAATTTTATCTAGTTAAATAAGTCATGTGGACTGAATTAAGCTAGAGTGTTTTGATTAGGAGTCTTAGATTCCTTCTAGATATTATCCTACTTGAGGATAAGTGATTTAGAAGGTTTCCTAGATTTTAGATAGAGTCAAAAAGATCAAGTACTCTTCTACTTTTACTCCATGTGAGATAAGATTAGAGAGTCCTAATTGGTCTTCTTTTTAGTAGTGCCGGCCGAAAAATTCAAGCCTATATATAGGAGGCTTGGCCGAATTTTAGAAGCACCCTTGAGTGGTCATTTTTGTTGTCTCTTTTGAGAGTTTTTCCTGTGAGGAATTTTTGTTAAATGGAGTGTCCATTTTTCGTGTCAAGTATGATTAAACCAAGAGGGTTTTCATCTTGTCTTGGATCTTTTTGATCTTGCAGAAACCATTCTTTTTCAAGTATGCTTCTTGATAGAATTGTTTTAAAACTAAACTTCTTATTTTCATACTACTTCTAGTAGTTCGATTGATGAGCCTTTCCTTTGGCTTGGTGTTCGAATTTCATGATGAGTGTGTTCATGAGATCCATTGTGGGGTTTGTCCTACTTTTGTTGGATGAGTTGTGCTTTGGCATAAGCATTTTGAGATAGTGTATGTGTTGCATATCTTTGGTTGGTTATGAAGATTACTAATTAATAATATTCCTTCATAGTTGGGCATTGTTTGCTCCTACCTTTCTTGAGTCTCTTGATTAATGACTGATCGAGTATATGGAATGGTGTCCTTGCTATTCTTAGCGTGGGTTGTTGTTTAATTCGAATCTTTCATGGATAATGTGTTCTTTGCTTGGTTTGAGTTAAGAGATAGAATCACTTAGATAAACGATCGTCTTACTGTGAATTTTCCGCACTCTTTTGAGTTTCACGGGATAGACAAAATTATCTTCGTACTTTCTTGTTGATGGTTGCATTAACAAAATTTGCTTCGTCTACGAGATTGCTATCAGATACTTTTCCACATGGGCCATTAGGATAGCTTGAAACCGTACATGTGGATTTTCGGAGCCGTAGTGATGAGAATCATGTAGCCTTCCATGGTGATTCTCCTAGTGAGGGGAATGAGCTAGTCCTTCATTTTAGTTTTGGAATGCCAAGTTTACTTTGCAGGCCAATCAAGGAAGAAAGGATGGATCTTGACTACCTGTGTGAGAGGGAGTTGGTTCAAGAAAGCTATGATCAAGATGATGAGAATGTCATTATCTTTGGAGTTCAAACCAAAGGACATGATGACCTCAAGGAAATAAGTGCTCAAGAGTATCAAAGGAGTTTGACTCTAGGTGCTCCATGAAGATCATTAATCAAGCTAGAGAGAAGAATCATTTAGGTTGTTGAATGGACGGCCAATTTGATCAAAGTGTTCAAGATTGAGTCCATTGCTACACAATTGGATAGGTTGCAAACTATCTCAATTGTTTCAAGTGTTTTTCCAATATTTTGGAGTCAATAAAGAGAATTTCACTTTTGGAAGGGCGTTCAAGACATTTTACTTCAATAATTTGGAGTTGATCTTCGAGATTTAGAGGTTGTCTAAGTTTAGGAGTTATTTTCGAAATTTTATCTAGTTAGATAAGCCATGTGGGCTGAGTAAAGCTAGAGTGTTTTGCTTATGAGTCTCAGATTCGTTCTAGATATTATCCTACTTGAGGATAAGTCATTTAGATAAGGTTTCCTAGATTTTAGATAGAGTCAAAGAGATCAAATACTCTTCTACTTCTACTCCTTGTGAGATAAGATTAGAGAGTCCTAATTGATCTTCTTTTCTTGGTGCTGGGCGAATTTCTTAGCCTATAAATAGGTAGGATGGCCGAAATTTTAAAGCACCCTTGAGTGGTCATTTTTGTTGTCTCTAATGGAGTTTTTCCTATGAGGAATTTTTGTTAAATGGTGTGTCCATTTTTCGTGTCAAGTATGATTTAACCAAGAGGGTTTTCATCTTGTCTTGGATCTTTTGATCTTGTAGAAACCGTTCTTTTTCAAGTATGCTTCTTGATAGAATTGTTTTAAAACTAAACTTCTTCTTTTCATACTACTTCTAGTTGTTCGATTGATGAGCATTTCTTTTAGCTTGGTGTTCGAATTCATGATGAGTGTGTTCATGAGTTCCATTGTGGGGTTTGTCCTACTTTTGTTGCATGACTTGTGCTTTGGCATAAGCATTTTCAGATTGTGTATGTGTTGCATATCTTTGTTGGTTATGGAGATTACTAATCAATAGTATTCCTTCATAGTTGAGCATTGTTTGCTCCTACCTTTCTTGAGTCTCTTGAATGATGACTGATCGAGTATATTGAATGGTGTCCTTACTATTCTTAGTGTGGGTTGTTGTTTAATTCGAATCTTTCATGGATAATGTGTTCTTCGCTTGGTTTGAGTTAAGAGATAGAAATCACTTTGATAAACGATCGTCTTACTGTGAATTTTCCGCACTCTTTTGAGTTTCACGGGATAGACAAATTATCTTCGTACTTTCTTGTTTGATGGTTGTATTAACGAAATTTGCTTCATTTATGAGATTGCTATCATTTGGGTTTATGGAGCCATAGACATGTGTTTGTTCACTCCATTTCAGCTTGAAAACAATTCATAAAATATCTTATAAATTACACAAAGTTTTGGAATCATTCTGATGTACGAGATGAGACTTGTCCATTTGAGGCATTAGCATAGCTTGAAACCGTACATGTGGGTTTACGGAGCCATGGGCATGTGTTTGTTCGCTCCATTTCGGCTTGAAATCATTCAGGAAATAGCTTATGTACCTTATAAGTTATACCAAGGTTTAGAGCCATTCCGATGTACGAGATGAGACTTGTCCATATGGGCCATTTTGATAACTTGAAACGATACATGTGGGTTTACAGAGCCATAGGCATGTGTTTGTTCACGCCATTTAGGCTTGATATCATTCATTAAATATCTTATAAATTATGCCAAGGTTTGGAATCATTCCGATGTACGAGATGAGACTTGTCCATTTGAGTCATTAGGACCGTACATGTGGGTTTACAGAGCCATAGGCATGTGTTTGTTCACTCCATTTCGGCTTAAAATCATTCATTAAATATCTTGTAAATTACACCAAGGTTTGGAATCATTCCGATGTGCGAGATGAGATTTGTCTTGAGGGGCCATTAGGATATCTTGAAACCGTATATGTGGGTTTACGGAGCCATAGGCATGTGTTTGCTCACTCCATTTGGGCTTGAAATCATTTAAATAGCTTATAAGTTATAAGAAAACTCCACAAGATAGGACCTAAATTTTCTAAAAAATATTCCCCCGTTAATTGATAAAATTTCAGTCGACAAGATGGAATAAAAAGGAAGAAATTTGGTCAACATATATATATAAAAGGATAAGGTCCTAAAACTTAGATAATCATAATCCCTTTTGGACACAACTTATGAACTATGTCATAAAACAATGAAAGATTCATCCCTACTATTTAGAGACAAAAATCCGACCCCCTACTACAAATAGGACTCAAAAAAACTCAGCCAACACACAAGCACAATTGTATTAAAAGACTCAAAAATTTTCTGATTAAGATAAGGCTTCCTTATCTCAATAGTTTTCGAAAATAGACTCACTTTAAAACTCTAATTATAATCTCACTGAAATTATAATTTAACTCATGCAAAAATTAGTATTTAAATCCAAGTAGGACTCAAATAAAACAAAAAATAAAATTGTATTACCATTAGGAAACAAAGGCTGAAAAATTTCAGCCAATGTAAACACTAAAATCCAAGACCGAATAGGTCTCAAATCATAACACAATTTGGATTCAATGACCTTAATTTTAAGGATAAAATTTTTGGCCATGTGAACACACAAATACAAGACCGATTAGGTCTCAAAGTGTGACACAAATAGACAGCCAAAATTCAAGTTCAACTAGGACTAGAAAACCCTAATTTTTAGCTCAAAAATTCGGCTATACTATGACTCTAAAATTCAAAACCAACTAGGCTTAGAACTCCACATAAACCACACGCACACACATGCTTAAATTCAGCAAAATTTCTACATTCAACTTTTACCACATAGTTAAAATTTGAAAAATTACTTTTGACTCACTTTAAAAAGGAAACTTGGAAATTACCACTTCCAAAATGTCCAACAACTTTTAGAATACTTTCTAAAAGCCACTTTCCAAATTGTATATGGAATTAACAGAAATCACTTTTTACCAAAACAATCTATGGCAAATAAAGTAACAAGAACACCATAAGTATAATGAAGTTGGAAATTAAAGTTCCTCATTCAACTATGACGTTTACTTCATAATACTCAATTTAACACAAACCATTCATGCGACTTAATGGCTCAACAAGGTCATGTTCATAAGTGATCATTTGAAAATCAAATTTTCCAAAGACCAAATATGTAAACTTCAAGAACATATCTCAATTCCCGATTCAACTCTCGAAAATTAAGGTTTCAAACACAAGTCAAAGACTTCAACCGTTAAAGTTGGCACAATTCAACTTCAAAGACCTTTAAACATTTGATAACAAAATTGATATCACTAAAATTCATTCTTCATCAAATGATAAAGAAAGTTTTGAAACTCAAGTTAAGAATCATGGAAAGTCCAATGACAGGAAGATCCACTAATTCGAATCATTCTCAAAGTATAAACTCGAGGAAAAAAAAACAAAAAATCGACATTTGTTACTTTTGAAAATCTTTTGACACTAAGATTTAAACAAAAAAAAACAAAATAATCAAAAAAAAAGAGATCGGAACTCTATGAAATTCTCATTGATTGAAAATCCAGAAATTCCATTTTACTCATTAGATTCAAATGAGAACCAACAAGAAGGAAGGCTTTTTCATTTATACTTTATGTAGAAAGTACAAAATCACTAAACTTCACCTTTCAAAGAATAGATCCAAGATATTTACCACAAGATAAACTCTCAAACCCTCCTCATGTAAAGACATCTCTTTAGAAAGAAAAGGCTATCTCGAGAAAGAAACTCTTCTTTGGCACCAATTCTCTCCTTAATGATTCAACACAGTTCTCTACTTGCAAATCAAGGATAAATTTTAAGATGTAGTGCCTACTTTGACTAGATACCAATGTACCATCATCAATCTCTCGCATAGACCTCAAAATAACACCACAAGATCAAACAAATGTATAAGAAGTCTCGCACAACCACACAAAAGACAAGATCAATTTTGAAAACGTAGTTTTCACAAGAATTTGATTCATTTTTTCAAAATCCATTCTGCAACAAGAAAGAACCTTGAAACAAACAAAGATAGTACTACTCGTTAGTAGCACAAAGCTTGATTACCACACCAAGAAACGAATTCCATGGTAACTCAAGATATTCTCAAAACCAAGAACTATGAAGTCCTCAATCAAAAAGAAATCTCTCGAAAATCAAACTGATATTAAAAACTGATATGATAATATCAATTAATACCATCACTTAGATAGTTCAAGCTCTGATACCAGAAACTGATAGCAATCTCATAGATGAAGCAAATTTCGTTCATGCAACCATCAAACAAGAAAGTACGAAGATAAGTTGTCTATCCCGTGAAACTCAAAAGAGTGCAGAAAATTCACAGTAAGACAATCGTTTATCTAAAGATTTCTATCTCTTAACTCAAACCAAGCAAAGAACACATTATCTATGAAAGATTCGAATTAAACAAAAACCCACACTAAGAATAGTAAGGATACCATTCAATATACTCGATCAGTCATCATTCAAGAGACTCAAGAAAGGTAGGAGCAAACAATGCTTAACTATGAAGGAATACTATTGATTAGTAATCTCCATAACCAACAAAGATATGCAACACATACACTATCTCAAATTGCTTATGCCAAAGCAAAACTCATCCAACAAAAGTAGGACAAACCCCACAAAGGAACTCATGAACATACACATCATAAACTCGAAAACCATAGCCAAAAGAAAGACTCAACTCTTGAACTACTAGAAGTAGTATGAAAACAAGAAGTTTAGTTTTAAAATAATTTTATCAAGAAGCATACTAGAAAAAGAACGGTTTTTGCAAGATCAAAAGATACAAGACAAGATGAAAAACCCTCTTAGTTAAATTCTACTTGACAAATGAAAAATGGACACAACATTTAACAAAAATTCCTTACAGGAAAAACTCTCATTAGAGAAGAATCAAAATGACCACACACGGGTGCTTTATCTTTCGGCCATACCCCCCCATTATAGGCTAGCAATTTTGGCCAAAGCACCAAAAAGAAGACCAACTAGGACCCTCTAATCTTATCTCATGCAGGAG